TTACTTCGTTGAGATCCTGCGTTGAGAAGCCTGGAGCTAGCTTTGTGGGCAGCCTTCTACAACTGCGATCTACAGCAATAAAAAGATCTGTAATAGCACATATTTCCTTAGAATTAAACAACAAGCTATAAGATTTCGAGGTTTTCCACCTAGTGCGACATAACTCATCAACTTCTCCTCACTATTCCTATAGGACTTTGTATATCCCTGCTATACAATTTAAGCCCTAACTCACTTTAGGATTTTGAGGTTGTCGTTCATCACGACCTAAATTCTCACATTTTCTAGGATCCTCACAACTTCCAAGCTATCTGTGCAACTTTCTTGCATAAATGTAAGCCCTAAATAATAAAATTGACAAGATGAAACACTTAATTCTTCTCGAAATTGAAGTCGAACCATAAGATAGCTTGAGAAGTCATTGAGGTTCTTCACCGAGGTTCTCCTCCGGATCTATGACATCCCCTAGTTCTTCCTCCTTTGAAATTAAAAATAAATGTTCCAAATTTGATCCATTCCCATTTCACACCTCTTTGTCCGATCTTTTGAAAAGTCCTATCCTTTTGAACTCTTTGAAAACAATATCCGCTGATTTTTATCAATAATTTTCTTAGGTGACTTTTCTTAGGTGACTTCGGCTAGTGACTTCGGCTATCTAAGATGTAATGAACTATAGGGGCTTACCCTTATAGGAAACTTTAAAGAACCTAACTTAATATAATCTCAATTTAATTTTTTGTATTAAATAGATAAACTTGTCGGTCGACATAAAAGTGTTTTTTGTAGACTTAAACGGATGTCATAAATTCTTTAGTTTATTAATCGAGCCTTACAAGTAAGTAGTGTGTCTACCCTTTGGGATAGATGCATTGCTTGTGGTATTAGTCTCGTTTATTTAAACTACTGAGGATATGAGATCAGTCCGGTCTCGTATTTTTAAAATCTAAAATACTACTTTTTCTCAATTTATATATACATAATTAAATTCAATCGGGCATCAGGATTCCTATTCCGACAACCGACGACTCCCAATTTGGCGACCGACAATATCACTATAATGAGTTGTAAAATCACCATGCATGAAGCATTGGGGTTTATTGAATCGCCCGACCTTTTGACATAACCTAAGCTAGATTTTAATAAATATATACATAAATTAAATTCAATCGGGCGTCAAGATTCCTGTTCCGGCAACCGACAACTCCCAATTTGGCGACCGAAAATATCACTGTAATGAGTTATAAAAATCACCATGCATGAAGCATTGGGCTTATTGAAACCTAAGCTAGATTTTTCCCCTGGGGTTCCGTTCTGCCACATAGCCTTGCATAGTTTGGCTTGGCGAACAGACCACTTTTTGGATAGTAACCCATTGTTCAAAAGCTTAAAAATGGGAGGTGAATAATAATAAGAATGAAGGATGTCCTCTATTTACTCATTATCATCACTTTAAAACATTACAATATCATTGATTAAATGAGAAGAAACTTTGTAAAATAAAATGCCTTTTTTTTAAGACTTGGGTCTTAGTGGTAGATAAAAGGCCTTGAGATCTTTTACTATGGAAGCATTTGCAATCATCAAACCTTTGTGATGGTCTTGTGGTACCAAATCGATAGTCAATACTTCATCTGCCAAAGATAAATTGGACAAACAAGGGATCATGATTTTTGCATAGTATTTCCTCATCGGTATCTACTTGATTATCGTGGTGAGAGCCCATGGAGTTTTTTCACCGGCAGGGCCTCTTCTACCTTAGAGTTAGTGTCTGATTCAACACTTATCCTTATCTTAGAATCTAACATAGTAAGGAGCTTTCCAACTTGCTCCGGTATCGTGGGGCACAACGTCTTTCCTCCCACTTCACTATTTCTTTATCTTTGACCAAGTGAGAGCTAGGTAGAGGAGGGGCCCGTGGACATCCCACAACACTTAAAGTTGGTAGAGATGCTCTTTTATGAGGAACCTTGTTGATGGAGAATGGTTAAACATCACCCGAGATGAAGAACAGTTCTCCTCTGCACATATACTTGATGCACTGATGTAGAGTTGAAGATACCATCCCATACTCATAAATCCAGAGGTGTTCAAGCAAGTCTCTGAAAGACGTTTTCCCATCAATGATGTGGAACTTGGCTACAATTTGAACTCTATAAATTGTAGAGGAAGGGTTATGGGCCTTAGAAATTTTTGCCTCTTCTCGTTGAATCCATTCAACATGATCATGTTGGAACATAGCTTCATGTGCTTAATGAAAGTAACTCAAGGGTGCACACTCTAATAATATTAATGGATGCACCAGGATCAAGTAATATACTGTTGAAATATGTTCTGTATATCAAGATTAGTTGTTTCTCCAAGACATTTTTCATATCATATAGGAATGCTAGATTTAGTAGCTCAAACCAAATTAATTAAATCACTTGTTCTAAGAATCACTACCAAGTTTTCTTTTAAACCTACTTTAATAAAAAACAAAGGCTAGGGAAATAGTCTGTTGTTTCCATCCAATGAATTAGTAGATTAAATAATGCCAAGATACTTTGATTTCAAATAGGAAACATCAATCCAAATTAAATGTATACACCTTATTAGAAATGCTTTTATGAAAAACATTAAAACTAACATAAAATATTCTCAAGGAGAAATCATGCTTTCTACAAGTGTATTAAATACATGATCCAAGGTTTCTACTCATAAGTTTTGCTTATGATGCAGGAAACTCTTGTAATTATCATAAACTAATCCAAAGATGATATTACCTGCTTGCTCTTTTGACCTCCACAACTTCATATATGGTAATGATAACTCTATATAAATTTTCCAAAGTATTAATAATTTTCTTTGGAGGGATATCAATATTCTTTTTCATAATTTCATATATTTTTCAAGCTACCTAATATGGTGTTGTTTATTTATTTCCTTCTCTATTCACACTATGGTATGAATGCATCAATTCTATTTTTTTTTTTTATCTTAAGAGAATATATATCACCACATATTATGGCTCATACTCTCCAAGAGCATACTTGATGTGAACATACAACAACCATATAGATTTTATTTCCATGCTTGAACTTCAACCTAAAATTATTTATCATTGCATTAGATTGGATAAATTTCATGAAATGTTTCAGATTAAAAATACATGCACCAAATTTTAAATCACAATCAAATCGAAATTATGTAATAAAATACTTCTCATTATAAACTTCTAGGCCAAAGTTCTCGTTACAAATGGAATTAAATTGTGGATAATAACTACACAACATGGTATCACTAACCTTAAATTGTCGACCTTCTGCGTACATATTAATTTATCTTTGATTTTGTGTGATAACCATTACTTTGGCTTGGCCACATATACTAGATTAAGCAATCATTTGTATAACTTCAATATTATTTGTGATAAGAATATATTATTTTGGGTGATGTTCCACATTTATAATATTGTGAGTCAAAGTTATAACTTTTAAGCCAAGGACAAACCACATCTATCTCATTTTTTAACACTTGTAAATTACACGTTGTCTTTTTCAATTCTAATAGTTTTTGTTTCACATCATCATATTTCTTTCTTTATTGGTTCTTAACTTGCCTCTAATATCCATCATATTTAAATGTGATTAGCAATGACTCATCTAGATAAAAAATTAAATCAATTCTTACAATAGAATCACATGAGTTATGCATAACAAATTAATAAATTGTTAGACACAATAAACACTTTGAATTGTGTTTATAATTCATTAATCATTCTCACGCTATTTCAATTTATGAATGTAAACAAACTATACAATGCATATATAAAATATCAATCAATTGACGTTGTTTAGTGATCAATTCAACAAATTGAAGTTAAATCAAATGACAAATCTATCTGAGTTGCACCAAAATGCATGTTCCATGTGAAAGGAAATGCTTAAATAAATGAGAAATTTTTGTGACCCAAGTAGAAGTCAACATAGATAAACAAAGCGAAAAATGTAAAAAAAAAACACGTGTCAGTAAACAAACTTAATTCTTTTTTTATATAATTCAAAAAGTGTCATGTAAAGATTCATCTTTCAATTATGAAAGCAACTATCAGAAAAAAAACATAATTGCTATAAGTTTATATTTAATATTTGATAGTGTTTATAAAGTTTAATTGACATATATACATACCCATTTGGCTTGTTTCTATAATGGAGAAGATGAGTATTATTAAATTCTTACATTAAAAATCATAGTTAGCACACACTCTACTTGCTCTCCTGTGATCATAGAACAAATTCATGAATCTATAGAAACATGTATAGTTACTTGCAAGAGTGGATCTTTTCCTCAGATGCTAATCAACCTTTTTAGTAAAGTGATTATACTCAACTGAAAGGGTTGTTATATTTAAGACTTTTCACTTAACTTCATTAACTCCATTTCTTTTTTGATTTCTTTAGCCAAAAGGTAGGTAGGTGTGAAAAGCCATCCTAAAGGGAGTTCTTTTAAAAGCATGAGAGATTGAAAATAGATGGAGAAAAGCCATCAAGAACAACTTTGACTTGGGTGGAGCAATGAGAGCTAATGCAGCTTATGGCAGAGGAAGAGAAAGTTGCTACAATTTTGGAAAAAGCAGGAGAATAATTATAGCTTCGCTCTGGCTTCAGACTGAACAAGACAAGTTGAGGTTTCAATTCCCAGATTGGTGAAACAGAGAAGACTTTTTCGTGCAAGTTTTCTAACAAACCAAACAAATAAAGACAGCTGAGGGCTATATGTATGATTGCTGAATACACAATATTAAAGTTTGGGATATAAGATAGATAATTAGATATATTTGATTTACTCTGCATGTAAAATAACCTATAATACAATATAATATAAGACCCAGCATGCAAATTTGATTGCCTCGTCAGTTGTTCAACATATTTATATTAATGGGATTAAGTTAGTTTTTGTGGGTCACTTAACTTTTTTGTCTCAACTTCAGTGTTTTTTTCGTGTCAGCATCCCACACATCAAGACGAGATTTTTAAAATCGACATATCAAAGTATTTTTCGCCTTCTCCTTTCTCCGGAGGCGTAGATTCTCTGCGACTAAACTGCTATCGTTTTGTCTTCCTCGGATCCAGGACGCGAAGAAGACGAGATACATGGTAGGGCACGGTCACCAGATTCCTCTGGAGGTGGTGGGAACGATGATAGAGATGGCCGATGTTGCTTGGAATGCCATTGAGCATCGCAGGGAGCGGAAGGTTCCACCTAAGGGGGAAGAGGAGGTTGCTCGGATACGCTCCGAGAACCAGCGGCTTAAGACCCTCCTCGCCGAGAATCTCTCTATCCTACAAGGCATCTCACAGGCGTCTTCTCTGGCCAGAGACTGCCCTCCTGATGTGAGTTCTTTCCACCTACCTTTCCTTCATCGGACGTTGTCGTATGATTTACACGCACTTCGGCTAGGGTTTAAATTTGTGATTTGAGGGGAGGGATGAAGGTTTGACCAGGAAGAGAGAATTGTTCATCTATTTATTATTTGTTACTTGTGTTCAAACTGAAGGAGGATTGACCAAATATTTTCCTATTTCTGCTGTATTACATCAGGGATCGGCTCCATATCTTTTTGCTTTAGTTATGGATGGTCTTACTGGACATCTACAGGAGGATGTACCTTGGTGTATTTTTTTTTGCTGATGATATCCTTCTCGTGGATAAAATGAGAGAAAAAACCTAGGAAAAACTTGAATTATGGAGGTCTACATTGGAGTCTAAAGGCCTTCATTTAAGTAGAATTAAAACTGAATACATGGACTGTAATTTTAGTAGCAGTAGCTCTAGTGACAAAAGTGTGAATTTGGGTGATCAAATTATTAAAATGTGTGAATGATTTAGATATTATGGGTCCTTTGTTCAAAGCGATGGTGATATAGATGGGGATGTTAATAGTAGAATTCAAGTTGGTTGGTTGAAGTGGAGGAATGCTTCGGGCCTTTTGTGTGATAGAAAATCTGAACGGAAAATTTTATAAGTTGGTGGTGAGACATGCAATGATCTATGTCGCTAAATGTTGGCCTTTAAAAGAGAAGCATAATAATAAGTTAAGTGTTGCCGAGATGAGAATGATTAGGTGGATGAGTGGTTTTACACTTAGAGACAAAATGCGAAATGAATATATCCGTGATAGGGTTGGTGTAGCTCCTGTGAAAGAAAAAATTAGAGAAAGTCGTCTTAGATGGTTTGGTCACATTAAATGTCGACCATCCGATGATCCGATTAGGAGAGTAGATGTTATTAGATTCGACTGGTGTTAAGAAAGGCTGAGGTAGACCTAGGATGACTTGGGCTTATTGTATAAAAAATGATCTTAATTTACTAGAAATAAATGAGATAAATGAAGAATATGACACTAAATAGGACGCAATGGAGAAAAAGGATTTATGTAGCTGAACACACGTAGTGGGATTAAGGCTTTGTTGTTGTTGTTGTTGCACTTTGATGAGATTGTTTGTTAGTTTGGACATGAGGGCAATAGAGTTTGCATTTCCGCTTATGCAATAAAAGCATGCAATTGTTGCCGTTGTGGTATGTATCCTTATGGTTGAAAATACACGAGTGAACATATGGCCCTTATAAATGACACTTGAAGTTCTTAGTGCTTGATCATCCATTCTTTTTTGTGAGGATTGAGAGGTTTTTGATATTATATAACTACAAATTTTACATGCTCTCCATCTAGATTACTTTGCGTTGGTTGAAAAAAATCTCTTATTGTTCATCTAACAATTCCTCTCATTTAAAAGTTCTATTTTTTATGCATCTAATACTTGAAGGTAATAGCATCTTCTCAGAAAATATTCAACTCATCAATTAAAGGTATTAAAATTATATCTATTTTTTTTTCTTCCTAGAATTTGGGGACCTAATATTAGCAATGGAAAGAAAATAAATTGCGGTATCATGTACATTCAAGGTGGCATATTATAAACAACAAAAGAATTAATCATATAAAATGTTGACTCACAATTTTTGATAGCTGACTGAATGAACAAATTGCAATTGGTAGATTTTGTGGTTTTGCTCGAAAAGAAGGACATGCATTATTGAAATGCTTTCAAGCCTCACATTGATGGGAGGAGCCATTGGGTCTTCATCGAGCTTATATTTTTAGTATGTTAATGGCATTACATTTGCAATTTTTTTAGACAGTCTTTGAAATCAAGGTGTCAGTGGAAGATAACACAACAATGTATAGGAACAACTGCTAAAGTTCTTCCTCTATCATTTTTCATAAGCATAAACTATGGATGACTACATATCAAACAATCCAACAGACCACTATTATCTTTATAGGATAGAACACATTCATTTTTTATTGCATCTATTTTTTTACCTTTTTTTGTTTTTAAAGACCAAGGGTCTTAATCATTTTTTTATTTGATATATATTTGCAGGTAAGTTGTTTTCTTCAGGTAGAATTGATTGAATTGCATACAAATATTGATTGCGACATGTATTAGTTACATTGAACTCAGACGTAACATTTAGAATTTGAAAACTGACTAATAGCTTTAATGTCTTATTACCAAATCATAAGGGTTCTTTTGCATCTTCAAGAAGTGTATAAAATTCTGTTGCTTTTTTTTTTTTGGTTTCTCCTCGGTGTCTTCTCTTTAAAGTTCATTCTTTCATTTTTAGAATTCTAAATCTATTGCATCCATCACTAGAAATGATCATGATTCAGTATGACTTATCATTAGTTTACTAATTCAAGATTTCGTATATTTTCATTGTGGTTATGCCATTCATTATAATTTTCTATAATTATTTTTTATGAATGAATAGTAATATTATCATAAAAGGAAGCTTTCTATTTCTGCATTTAAACAATGGTCATGTAATTTTCTTACCATCTATATTATTTGTCTGCATAAATTTGAACTCTATAAACACATAGACACCAGGCATGAAGTCTTCATTGACATAACCACAGCTTGCTTGATGATACTTCCGTTTGCAAGAAATAGACATTATTTCTATTCATGTTATGAGGACATACTTAGAATCAGACTTTTTTAATCATTTAATGTTTGAACTTAATCTGATCATGCATTTACTAACATAAAATAGCATTCCACTGGATCAATTTTTAATAATCAGGATATTATTTTAAATTAGTGAGAAATTCTTAAAATTTATTAAATAAAATAGCATTTTTTAGGTAATGGATTGATTGACTAAACTAATTTGCCTAACTAAATTGTATATAATGGTTTAAAGCAAAGCAATGGATTGACTTTTGGTTGAATGCCTCAATTGCATGAATGTTTCATAAGATTAATAATAGTGGAATAATTGGACATGTTAGGGCTACCGATGAGCTAGATATTACCCTCTCTGCTCTCCTTTCCTTTATTGATCATAATTTAGTTCCTTGTTTTTAATATTAAGATATATTAGTAGAGCTTTTTTGTTTGTCATTAGATGTTGTCTATAAATATCTATCCATATGTGTTCACATGATCATCATCAGTATGTTATCATTATCTTTATCCCAAATATTTGGGGCATTGTTAATTTTCATTTTCCACTTGTCCTTGTTGAGTGTTGTTTGAGGTGTCAAACTTCTTCTTTATAAATATTTTAAACAAGTTTTTAATTGTGTAATCATAGTTGTATTCATTTCATCATCCTCCGAGCTAATTTATCAACTTGTCTAGCAGCCACTTTTTCTACCCCTCCATAGATGTTGAACACCTATGTTTATTATTAGTCATTTTATTTTCAATACATGTCACTATTCTTTCTAATACGGAACTCTATGAAGAAAAATATTAAAAAAAAGCTTGAACTATAAAATGTAACAAATAGAAACTTAGAGAATTCTTCACCTAAAGTTATAAACAACACAGAAAACTCATGGAGAGAGAAAAATCCAAAAACTTGTGGTCCGGTGGCTATTAGTGTTTAAAGAAGTAGTGAGAAAGGAAAGATGTGTTGTCTAATATTTGGGGATTTGAGCCAAAATTATTTAGTTACAAAACCATCACAATTTTATGTAAAATAAATTTGTCCCAAAAAGGTAACAAGTTCCCACATTTTTTTTCTTGTTGTCTTTATTTTTTGACATTTAAATAATTATCATAACTCTCTTGCTAAATTGTGATGGATGATTGTGATAAAATGGTTTTGTTTCAAATTTAATAAGTTTGTGATGAAAAATCACATCACATTATTGCAATTTAGCTATAAAAAATCTGTCTCAAAGGAGCTATTTATATGATGAAAGCACATTTTTTTTATTGAAGCACATATATTATAAGAAATATTACATAATATTAGATTATGTGGTAAATCAAAGAAATTATTTGTATTTCCCTACCTCTCTTGAATTGATCATACAAGGTATTATATAGGAGATTAAAAGGAGAAAAACTAGGAAACTATTTAATTATTTCCCTTATTTTAAAGGATTAAAAATTTATTCCAATTTCCTTAATTTAAGGGATTTACCAATTAATTCTAATTTCCTTAATTAAGGAAATTAGAATTAATTCTCACAACTTTGTTTCCATCTCAGTCACATCTCGACACTCCCCCTCAAGCTGAAGAATAGATGTCTTCCATTCCTAGCTTGGATACAAGATCATGGAAACTTGAACTGTTCAGCCCCTTTGTTAGAACATCGGCTAATTGTCTTTATGGTGGAACATAGGACATACACACTAACCCTTCCTCCAGTTTTTCTTTGATGAAATGTCTATCAATCTCAATATGTTTTGTCCTATCATGTTGTATAGGATTATGAACTATATTAATGACAGACTTGTTGTCATAGTAGAGCTTCATAGGACCCTCCCATGGGATTCTTAAATCATCCAAGATGTTTCTCAGCCATAGTAATTCACATAATCCTTGAGCAATAGCCCTGAACTCTGATTCTGCAGATGACATTGCCACTACATTCTGGTTCTTGCTTCTCCATGTCAATAGGTTACCTCTAAGAAAAGTACAATATCCTGTAGTTGATCTTCTATCCATTATGGAGCCAGCATAGTCAGCGTCGGTGTAGGCTTCCAGAGTAAGAGTGTCATTCCTTTTGAACAAGATTCCTTTCCCCGGATTGCCTTTCAAGTAATGCAATACCCTGTAGGCAGCCTGAAGATGAGGTTCTCTAGGATCATGCATGAATTGACTGATCATACTTACAAAATATGCTATGTCTGGTCGAGTGTGAGCACGGTATATGAGTTTGCCAACCAATCTCTGGTACATTCTTTTATCCACAGTTGGTTCTTCTTTAGCTTCTCCCAACTTATAGTTTGGATCTATTGGAGTAGTGATTGGCTTACACCCAGTCTTCCTTGTTTCTGTCAATAAATCAATCACGTACTTCTGC